TGCCTTCTGATCACTGGGTCCTGCAGGGAGCAAGGGCCTAAAATGATTTCACAAGGTCTGGAAAGCAATAGGGAGAAAAAGTTGTAAAGGGCTTACTGCACCTGTATTTTCTTTACTGTGTGGGCGACTGTGCACTGTAACAGAGGGGTTGTGGAGTCTCCCTCACTGCAGATACTGGACACAATCCTGCGCCATGTGCTTTAGGATGACCCTGCTTGAGTAGGGACATTGGACCAGATGACCCACTGTGGTCCCTTCCAACCTGGCCCATCTGTGATTCTGTGACTTAAAGTAATAACTTCATGAAACGATGACACTGTTTTCAGAGCCCGATCCTACTAGTTAATAAATCCCAATTGTCATAGGTGTCACACTGCTCTACCTCAGAGCAGACCACCTCGCAGGACAAACAAATCAACATCACCTGCATTAAGTGAGCAGTGTCTCTTCTTTCAGAACAGGAACAAGCTAAATGAAGCACAGTCACATTTTGTGGCCAGCTAAGTTACAACTGCTCACGGTTTTGAAGCTTTTTGTTGTAAAAGGAGCCTAGTGGTAGCGTTCTCATCTTTTCCAAGGCACACTTCTATTTGTTCTCATAGGAAAAATGAAAAATAAATCAAACATTATTTTACCCGTTCAAACGGTTTACATTCCCAAAAAGCACTCACTGAACCACTTTTTCACATAGAAAACCCTTTTCAATATTTATATAGCATTAAAAAAACTGATTGTGTATAAACATTTTAAATTGAAGATGCAGCAATATAAAGTCTTCAGTTTCAGTTCCGAGTTGTTAAATTTTCTCTAGAATAAGGATCAGAGTATGGACTGGTTTTCAGAGCCAAATACTCAAAAAGTGATCTGGAGGAACCGCTTGGACAGAGCTTTTATTTCTGACATTAGGAAATAAAACTTCATTCATGGCACGATTCAGAAACTCTTATTTACCTGATGATAATATAAACCATCAGCAGACATTGGAAAGCACAGGTCAATCAGGTTAGACACTACTTTCTGCAGCCTGATACTTTGTATTTTCTTTATCAGTTAGGGCTGCCTGACATGTAATCTGCCAGGCAGTTCCCCTCTTCCTCAGGCTTACACACAAGCAGAGGGATCCAGCTGTCACTCCCAGTTCATTATCGACATTTTAACAATGAGATTGCTTTAAAAAATATAAACCCTGCAAACAGTAACTTCAATGGTGGCAGACCAGATTATTTCTGCTGAACTCCCTCCATATGTTTATCCTGTTTCTTTTGTAATAAATTGTGTTTCTTTGTGACCTGAGCAACTCTATATATGTAACAAATTTATTGATACATACACCCCCCACAAAGAATATCCAAGTTCTGCACCTGTCTTTAGAGTTACCTTGTAAGTTGGAAAATATTTCAGGACAATTCAAGGGATAAAGTAATTACATTACATACTCTCATTCTGTTTCGTAACTCCTGTTGATTTTTATTGATGGTGATAAATGCATTTAGTTTATTACTTCTACTTTTTCTAACAATATTTCAGGGTTGAAAAAGTGCAATTTCTAGGGCCAAGAAAATAACTTAAGTAATGGAAAACAAGTTCTTGTGACACAAAGACCAAGAAGGTCAAAAGCAGAGAGGCTCAAGTAGATTGCAGTTCATACCTGAAATGGAAGACTGTTCTATCTCTTTGTGAAAGTACATTATCTTTTACACCAGTTAAAACCATTTCTGGAAATTATTTAACATTTAAACAATATTCCAAAGTGAAAAATTATCCTGTCCGCTCAACATTTAGATTCTTTAAAAGGTCTAACAGGAATCCATCACGGCTGTATGGGAAAAACTGTTTCCTCAAAAATAAAGATCCTGAAATTTAAGCTTTATGCAGATAAACAAGCTAGGATTGAAAAGACACACAGACACTTTCCCCCAGAACATTGGCCTCCGATTTTATTCTTTAGCCTTTTTCAAGCTGTCACTATATCTTTACATTTTGTACAGTATTGTGTGTATCAAGGGAAAGAATTATCTTTAACAAGATTTTAAGTATTACAATATTAAGGACCGTTGTATTTGCACCCATGATGTTTAAAAAATCTCTCAGACAAACCATGTAGAAATAAGTATGCAAAAACTGCAAAGAAAAACATTTAAGTAGCCAAAATTAAAAAGACCTTTGTGTGAACCACACAGTCTTGCTCAGTTTCTACTAGGCTATTGCAGCCAAGTAGTCTTTAACCTCAGTTGGAGTGAGTCTCCTAAAACCAGCCTCATTACAGATGCCAACTTCAATGTTGTCTTCTGTCATTTGCCCTTCAAAGCTCTCCTATTAAAGAAAATGCAGTTCAGTGGATCGTATCAATGAAGTCATAAGAAACTTCTTTCTAAAGTATTTTGCTCACCTTTAGTGTTAAAATAGCTGTATGAATGGCATCTTCGAGCTCCAAATCTTCATTGTATCTGCAAACAAACATTCATGCATTTCAGCATGGGACAAAGCCCTTTCCAAATTTTACTAATCCTGGAGTCTCTAAAAACCCAAACACTACTAAAATCTTTCTCATACAAATATTATTTGTAAGCACTGTAACATTATTAGTCAAAGTTATTATTTGTCAAAAAAGGAATCAGTACCTTTCATACTGACACTGTATATAACAATATTGCTGCAAATATGTTGCATATGTTTATTGCACTCAAACAATTCTCCACAAACACAAAAGTTGGAGTTCAAATAAGTCAAATTTCCTGTGCATTCCTAAGTAAGTAAACTAGAAGTATCACATCTTAAGTATTTCAAAATTTTGTTCTGATAATCTAAAAAGGTGTGCATTTCTTTTAATCTGGCTGTTTTACGTGGAACCTGCACAAAACACAGTATCCATTCAGACAAATACATTACCTTTTCTCAAGGAATGTTTTCCCATTGACATAATTTTTTCCCATCGCTGTTGCCTTCCACGCAAAGTAAGCTCCCTGTAAAAGCAACAATCTATTGAACAGTTCTGTGTGACTCAGTCAAGCACTGCATATTCAATACATACAAGTACGGCAACAATTATGAAATTACTGAATGTTCTGAGACTATGGGAGATAATTTTGGATCGCATTCAGACTAATTTGATACAGTAACACATGCTGTGAAAACGTACAGAACATTTGTAGGTGGCCCCACGCATTTTCATCCTCCCACTACTTTGAAAGATGAAATAGTAAGTCCTTAGCAAAGCTTTGATTTGGAATTCCATAAATGGAAATAGTATGTTTGCCTTTGAGAAAGTGTACAGTCAGATCCTTACTGAGGTTCACTCCACTCTTCTTTCTGAAGATGAGGTAGTATAAACAACCTGTTGCAAATCAGCCATCTGATTTACGTTAGCTACTAACAGGATATTTAGCCATCACTTCTATTCTCTCTGGCATGAAGACTATCAGCCGGCCTATGCCTTAATCAAACTGTCACCTGCATTTTGCTTTTTACTTTGCGGAATCAGACAGTAATTCAAACTTCTGAAGCTCATCGATGATCATGACAGTGACCTCGTTGTTTTTGTCTGAAGCACTGCACCTCACACGTGCATCAAAGGGTAGTTTTTCAGAAGTACAGGGCAAACCCAGCAAATAAACTCACTTAACCACTGTCATTAAATATTAAGACGTGTGCATTTTGTCTCACAATACAACAGGTTTTGACTAAACTTCCATTCAGTTTTGAGCAGCGTAAGCAGACATTTGTTTTCCTGATATCTGTTGCAGAAGGCCATTTTTGCTGCCACAATCAACTAGGGAAGGCATGAAAAGGGTTGGTGATCTCCCTCAAAAGCAGCTCCCATCCCTCACGCAGTAACATGTAGGTCCAGAATGATCCAGACTTGCTCCAAGCACTGACTGAAATGGCTCATTTTAACTTCTGAAGTTATGTTAAGGTATCTTTTGTTCTAGCCCTGCACTGCTCTCATCGCAGAAACTATTTCATGAGCACCTGGGAAATGTCACATCTTTTACAGAAGCAGCAGAATTTACAAACGTAAGATACTTACAGATGGATCCGACTGGAATAAATACGGCCTCCCTTCATTCCAGCCACATATTAGCAGTGACACACCAAAAGGACGAACACCACTACGGGAAAACAAAATGATAAATTATTCAGTGAAAGCCAAAGGTGACTAAATTATTTTCGATGTGTTAATCTTCCCCTAAATATTTCCCACCAGACCGGAGCTGTGATAAGGAATGACTAGTCAACCACCAGAACAAACCCAAAAGTACGCTGCCTTGTCTGATGCGTTGGTTTGCAAGATACAGAGACTCATTCTCAGCTGGTGCCAGTCCACACTCCTCCCACTGGCCCACTTTCTGTGCATGTTCTCCACTGAAGAACTGTCTTTGACACAAAAACTTGCACCACTGAGCAGCTATTACTCTTTACTTTTAAAAAA